CATCAACATTTATAGAAAATAATTTTTTTCAGTATCCGTTGTCTTCCGATACTTTTTCGTCTGACTTGCCTACTGCGGCGTGGCTAAATTTTGTGCGTTGAGGCTAAAGGACTACGGGTCTTGGCTGAAGCAATTCGGGTTTTGGCTAAAGGATTGCGGGTTCTGACTAAAGCTTAATGGAAAAAGGTGTAGTTGCCGTAGGAACGCTTGTCTAACAGAGTGTGATCATTAAAGGGTTCGGTACTGAGCGCTCATTTTGGGCATGCACTTCTCGTCGATTAGCGTTGTCCGTATCCCGTGTGCGCATATTCTGCTTGCGAGATTAAGTTTCAATCACGTGCATTTAACCGCACATAGACCAGAAGTCGAACTCTAACTGTCCGCCCACTCGTTCAATCTGCATCAGAATTAGTCGCCTGTGCCTGCCATTCATTCTCAAGCTTCTCTGACAGACTGGTTTACACATACGCACACACATTCAGTAGTGATCACTGTCACTGTGCAGCCCCAATTTCTTTTCTGTTCGGTTCTTTACTGCACATTGTTAGGTAACTGATCGACTCGACCAGAACGCTAATGCTTTTCGGGTTGCAAAACACTGATCGGGTTCAGGTCAATCTGTTCTTCGCAATGTGTTGTTGCCAGCGTGTTCTTCTGTGGGCAAACATGATGAAAAGATTTGTTCTTCATGCAAAGAGAAATATTCTGTTCTGTTGTTGATCGTTCTGTCTGTTTCGTTTCGTTAATTCTCAAAAATACCATCGGGCTGACCTGCCACGCCTTCGGTCAGTCTCCTGCTACTCTCTACTATCACGATTGTTTTTCATGGTTTCAATTTGGACGAGTTTCTGACACTGTTTGTACTTCCATTGCAATTTGGTTAGTTGTGTGTTACACACTGTTCGTTGTGATCTAACTTTTTTACTCTTTCAGCATTTGGTGGAAGTCAAGTGTCTTCATCCTCCGTTCGCAGTGCACTGACTGAATTACACGGAGCTTTGTCTGGTCCATCCGGTGGTGCTACTCAGAGTGATGTGAATGTATCCGGTCCCGATCCATCAGGTCGAAGATCCTGTTCGGTACGGCCGGTTGGTGGAGATGAGATGGGTACCTTGGGCAGTCGCATGTCACTGCGATCGTTGTCCTGTGCCTCATCTTCCGGAGCTGAATCGTATAACTCGTATCGTCTCTTGGTCAATCAGGCAGGAGCCAGTTGGCGTGAGTTGTGGCGCACTCGAATGCTTCTGATGGACGTGTTGCGCTGGGCCGAAGCTGTGGCCCCATTGGCTCATGGAAACGGATCCACGCCCCATGATGTCCATACATCCGAACCATCAGCTGTTTATCCATCCTCTCCTGCTCCGACTGTTACGGCTCCACTCCCTCCTATTCTGCCGACAGATCCGGTGGACTGGAACACCCGGTTTGCTAGCCTTCTCGCTGCTGCCCTCATGCCTCGCGGTCAGGATTCTACTACCTTTTCACCACCCGCACAAACTCTCGTTCCCACCCCCAGCACCGTGTCACAGCCTTTGCAACATCCTAACCCCCTCAGTTCGCTGAAAATGGGTGAAACCCTAGGGTCGATGGATCCGATGATGGCAGCTGCATTCGCGGCCGCCACAGCTGCAGCGGCCACGGTCGCCATACAGCAGCAGCAACAACAACAACAACAGTGTCATCCTATCCAACCACCTAGCATGTCACCGCTCTCGGGTTCCGAATCGTCTCCGGCCCAAACTCAAGCCAGTCGGTCCCATCTAATTCTATCGCCGCTTGCTTCGTCGCCGCCAATGGCTGCCAGTGTGGCACCGGGTTCCCTGAACGAGGTATTTATAATTCTATCTCATTCTCGCCTGCTTCCCGTTCGCTCACCACAAGTAAACTCGTTGAAATTCGAGTCACAACCTAGTAACCGACTCGGATAGATATTAGTTATAGTTAGTAATGGTCTCTTCTGCTATTGTCGTTTTGGAACTGTCATGTACTTCGATCTCATTACTTCGGCTCCGGGGCTAGTTCGCTCATGTTCAATGGGAGCTTGATTTAGTTGTTTTATCACGGTTCCCCAGAAGCCCTCTGGACATGAACTAGTCCCATCCTAATGGGATTATGAATAGCGCGAGCGGTGAATGACATACTGCCGCTCACAGAACGGATATAGCACCACTGAGTCGATAGACGGCAAAGTTAACAACCAATGAAAAGAGATACTCTAGGTATTGGTTAGACTGCCTTAACCTTTTCCCATTCGCTACATGCAACTGTCGTTTACGTTGTATTTTGGGTGACTTGGTGTACGGAGAATCTCGTCCATATCAAAGCATGATCCGGGTGTTGACCAGGGAGAGCAGTATTCTTGAATGGATTCCTGACAGTTGCAGCTGATGACAGTGCTGTCGATTTTTGTCCATCATTGTGAACAGGTAGGTGGTTTCCGTTTCGTAGAATTTGGGAGCGAAAGAAAGAACTAGACGGATGTGGAAGGAGTTTTCCCAATGGATGCCAGATACTTTGGGACACGGATTACTTCGCGGTAGCTCACACCGACAAAGAGGATTTTCTTTCGGAGCTTTTGACTCAAAAGTATGACCCATAAAGCGGTCGGCCGTCGGTCCAATGCGTGAGCCTGATCGAATCACGCGAATGGGTGTTTCTAAAGGCTTGTCACGAAAGGTCTTTGGGTTTCGGTTAAGTGTGTTGTTCCCTGGTGCATTGATTGATAATCCACTTTTCGGGATCAGGCATCAGACTCATGCACCTAATGAGACATACGGAGCGTGAAGAGAACAGTACCTTATTGGCTGGTGGGCTACCGAACTTGAGAGGATGACAGCTGTCCAGTAGAGTGCGACGACTCCTTCTACCGTTGGGAGGTATCCCTAGGTACCCTACTTTCACGTTCATCTAGCGGGGTTTTCACCGATAACCTGCTCCTCTTCGTGTTTATCTGTTAGAGTGACCTCTCCAAGGGCTAGGGTGGATGGACAAGTGAAGTCAATAGGTGCCTTATGAGACTGAGCCTTGCTTGGCCTCTACCCATTGATCATTAGGCATGATTGAATCTGTTTCGAAAATCTATCCTGTTTAGATTGCAGGGCCATGGAGACCAATACACCGCGTCAAGGTGTAGTCGCGTCCTAATCGAACTTGGCTGCAACTCTGATATAATTGTATTAGCACTGCGAACTTTCGGGTTGAGATTTGAACTCCTTACCCCTGAGTCACATTGTCGACGATCATCGTTTAGTGCGGTCAGTTCAATCAAAAAATTCATAATATCGGCATCGAAAATAGAGAATAATACTTTTGAATTACCGAATGCTACTTGTGAAACTCGTACTTTTTACTTAGATAATTAGACCGTTTATGTAACGATTGCGGGTTTGTGCTTCTATGGATGTATGCCAATCAGTGTTTACCTTCTAATCCGGGAATTATTTCAGTATCCACCTCCCAGTGTATAGTAAATTGGCTCATACTCACTTTGTCTAGTGTTATTGCTGAACTTCAATCCAAGTACATTCCGTTTGGTTTCATTCTTCTTTTAAACGTTCGTCCGGCGTTGATTCTTATACGTCATCTTCGGCTGTTGTTTCTTACTCGATTTCGGTCGACCATATCAATTCAAATGCATCGACAACCCGACAGATCCCTCCGTGCAGTTCCAGACAGACAATTATCTGGATTCTTCTCTCTCCATTTGACTCATTCAGGTCAACAAATCGAAAATTACAGTCAACCCTTCTGTCAATCGGCCGGCAACTTGCACTCGGTCTTTGGTGTCACCATCAGTTAATAGTGTCTACTTGATTGCTTTTGGCTCTATATTACTGTTGAACTTATCGCCTCTTAGACTTCACATATTTGACGGCTGCTTGATGGATCTCTTGATCATAACAAATTCCGATCCCACTTGGTAGCTGTTTTTTCTTGTTACTCGATTACTTTTGCGATACAAAACCCTCCCCCCTCCCCTCCCACTGCTTCGCTGTGTGTGAACTGGTTTCTTCGTTTGTCTCTCTGCCTGTTGGCTTGTAATATTCGCACCTATATGCCACTCCATCAAAAATGGCGCATGCGCTCACTATTTAAACGTGTGATGTGTCTTCTTGGTCAGAGGAATGAGGATCTGGTTGTAGCACGGTCGTGAGTGATCGGTTACCTGGGGTCGTTTAGATTCTTATGAGTCCCATTCTCACATTAGTTTATTTGAGGATCACGATTTTTAGATTAGAGTGTGTAGGGGAATAAGAGAAACACAGCTAATAATCGCCAAGTCGCAGCAAAGAGTTATGAAGTCCTTCCCAAGTTGGCCAAGGAAAAACACAGGAGGACATGAAGTTGTCAGAAAAAATGCACTGATAAACAGAGGAACATGGTTGAATGCTACACTCTAAATTGTCTTGGTTTGTGTATCTAATGGAGGAACAACGTAGTTTACCAACACAGGTTCGCACACTCAGGGAACTCCGTAGATTGCTTTCCATGGGGACTCGGATATTTAGTGGTGTGTTCTTGTTGTCAATACGGGACCGTACTGGACAAATAGCTGTAATGGAACACAAAAGGATTGGGGCGTCTGACTGTGGCGGCGGTGGAAGTTGTCGGATTTCAACAACTGAATTGCATGCTGGTACCGTATCTTGCTTTCGTAATCATTTTCATAATGGGGCTAAGAAATCCCATTGCAATCCATCATATTTGTATTATGTGAAAACAATGGATCAGAAAACGCAATCGCACCTGTCATCTACTCGGTGAAATAAAGTGTTTGTGCACGCGTTCTAAACCGATGAAAATCAGCTATGTATTCGTGATTCTAAGAATTGAGTTTTGAGTCGGACGTCCGTCATAGTTTTGATGAACGAATCGGAATATGAGTGATCGGCACGTTTGATTCTTTCTTTGTCAGGGTAGATATTTCATTTGTCCAACGGAATGTGCTCTCCCATATGTTCCGATTTCACGCGTTTGATCTATTTGACCCTATCATTTATGTCCTAATAAGATGTTTCTCTCCCACTGCGCCACCTCTTACAACTAATCAACTTAAGCAAGTGGTAATGAGTCATCCGAAAGTGCCCTTTATCGTGGAGGGGTTAGTGGATCTACTTGCTTATTACCAACTTCACAATTCATCATTTATCCTTATATTGCACTTCATTTGTTGTATTGCGTATATAAGCGTTGGGCGTTTCTAGTGAGGTGGTATAGCATCATCGGTTTTTCTCTAGACTTGACTGTGAAAAATCAGCTCTTTGCTGCGTCT